ACAAAATCTCACCCATACTGGTGTTGGTATGATGATTTTCCCCCTACATTGCATTTTTCCATAATGTGAATATGATTGTTACTTTGTCACTAATATTGGAGGGCAAATGAATAGGTTTGAGATAGAAGACTTCTGGAAAGAAACAGTTGTCTCCCAAGAAAATGAAGCTGGTGTTGATTATAAGCAGGTTATTATTACTATTTTTTTCTGCTTCTCCACGGGTTGCACTCTGGTCAAAGGGGATTTAGTGTGATGTGGCCTCCAGCCCAGTGGTTTCCAGTTGTGGTCTTTTAGGGGTTGGACCACACGGTGGAGCACAGAGCCCCAGGCCACCTGGGCCAGCTGCCAGGGCTCCTTCCTGCAGGCAGGTGTCTTGGAGACAACATTCCTGCGGTTCCTCTTCTGAGCATCAGCTGCAAGTGAATGTTGAACTCGGGAAGCCAGAGGTTCAGCAWTCCGCCACCTCAGAGGGTTGTGGTGGTTCTGGGGCATTCTCTTTCTGAGCTCAGCTTCAGAAAACAAGACACTAGCCAGGCACGGTAGGTAGCACACGCCTGTCATCCCAGCAGTTCAGGAGGCTGAGGCAGGAGGATCATGAGTTCAAAACCAGCCTCAGCACATCAGTGAGACCCTGTCTCTAAATAAAATATAAAAAGGGCTAGGGATGTGGCTCGGTGGTTAAGCCCTTCTGGGTTCAATCCCCAGTATAAACAAACAAACAAAAAACCCAACAATACACTGTCACAAAAAGAYAGAGTGGTGTTGGCTGACAGATGTTTCTACATATTCATTAATGGATATTATTGACACCATGTGCTGTCCCAAGCTCTGTTCTAGGCAGTGAGGATTCAGTACCAGCCAACCCTGTCTGTTGCATGGACTTTACCTTCTAGGAGGGGAAGACAGGCAATGAGTGGTGGGTTAGCAACAGATACAGAGTTAGTCTTTATCAATATTGCATCCTGGGGAGCATCTTCTATGTACCTGACTCTCGATGCCCGGAAAGATATAGGAGTGAGCCATTGAAGTTCCCAGAGCCTGGAGCTATTGGCCTCCTAAGGTGCAACTATGCAGGAAGTTCTGTGATTCACCAGCACATGAAGAGTCAGCCCAGCCAACCTTGGGAGGCTAAAACCATCTAGTACCTTCTTGAGCAAATCAGTTACCTTCTCACTGATAAAATAAGCACAGTAAGACTGTGAAGATTAACTMCACACGTTCACAGCTATTGTTTTCAAGGAGTTTCGGTGACATTTTCGCCTGCTCACATCCTSCAGCGCAGTGAAGGAAGCATCTGGAAGTTTCATGATTAACCAGAGCAACAATGAAGTAAGAACTGCTGGTAATGATTACTTAACTCTTCAGTTGACAAAGCCCTTTAACGTGCCATTTCATCTCSTCTATGCAAATCCTGGGGGGTGGAAGCAATCCAACACAATGACCCTGCTAAATGCAATGTGGTGTCCTAGACTGGATTCTGGAAATGAAAGAGGATATTAGTGGAAAGGCTGACCTSTGGTTTAATTAATAGGATCGTATCAATGTTAATTTCTTAGTTTTGACAAAATTACCACGGTTAAGCTTTGCTGTCCCAAGAACTGAGTGTCATTTGCTGGCTCTAGCTGGATCCCAGGAGGAAGTAGCCATTAAGAAGCTAGTAAGAGCTGGGCGCCRTGGYGCACGCCTGTCATCTTAGCTGCTAGGGAGGCTGAGGCAGGAARATCAGGAGTTCAAAACCAGCCTCAGCAAAAGTGAAGTGCTAAGCAACTCAGTGAGACCCACTCTCTAAKAAARTACAAAATAGGGCTGGGATGTGGCTCAGTGGTTCAGTGTCCCTGAATTCAGTCCCTGATACCCTCCCCCCAAATAAGAAGCAGCAGCTAGGAGGGAGCTGGGTCCAGTGGCACACACCTGTAAACC